GCCGTCTCGGAAGGTCCGATGACGGACAAAAGTAGGGGAATTGGAGTTCGAGAGAACGGCTGCTGCAAGAGATGGATTGGACCAGTGGTCCATGCACATACTGCATCAACTGCTCGATGGAAAGGACGCACTCGCTATCCACCGTGGAGGCCAAGGGTCGGTCTAGATAAATAAATAATGGAAATTAACGGAGGTCATCGTGTTGATAATAAAGCTTACCAGCAGTGAGCATCGCTTCCTCTTCGTTTTCCCCTTCTTCTGTCGGGGTAACTACTGACATCAAGTTTAGCTCACAGAATTTATTTAGGCGGTCACCTTTACCTTTCCGCGCTTTCTTAAGGTGCACACTGAGACTTGGAATTGCCCAAAACGTGGTCGGCATGGAATTCAACATCTGGTGTATGGCATTGGATAAGCCAGCAAATGTTGCTGCGCTACGTTGAGAAAGTTCTTCCCGACTCCAAGTAAGCAGTGCCTTGAGAAGCATTAGCAGAGCTTTCCACCACCGGCCGGCAACATTTCCATTAAAATCAAATTCGTTATGTTGAGAGGGAACCTCAGCTTGTAGAAGTGCCTGCTGAGCCGTTTGATTGTGAATGATTTATTTTTGTCGATGGAAGATTCATCTCTGAAAGGGCTGGGTCCATGCCAGTAATTTCAAGAGGATAAAGTTCAAGGACCGCCCTTGCTCGGTGTTGAATTTTGTCCCAGCATGCAGCGACAAAGAAGAGGACCACGTCTGTCGTCACGCTCACAGGATCGTTAACGCGTAAAGTATAGACGGCGGCGGCACGCAGGATGGTGAGACTCGCTTCCACGAAGTCATGAAAGGGGGTGACTGCTATTTCCTCCAGGGTAAGATTCGTGACAGTAGTGATCGTTTTTCTGTAGGATATTGAGATATTGCGGCCCGACAATCCAGTACGCACAAGATCGCGTCGGTCTCGAGTTCATTGAACGACGGAATTCCAGCGTCCGTAAGGTCCATTGTCGTCTTTCGGCGCCGAGTTCCGCGTTAGAATGAGGTCATCTCTCGGTCGCGTCGTTCCTTTAGCGTCTTTCTTCCCATCCTGGCCGTCTTTTCCGGAAAGGCTAGCTGACGAGGAGGAGGAGGGAGAAACCGTTGGGGACGATGTGCGGCTAGTGGGTGGGCTGCCAGTTCCTTGTTAGCGGCGGGAAGTAATGGAAGCGACCAGGAGGACCTTCCATGACAGCGACCTTTACACCCTCAGCATCCACGGGCCCCATCGTGACCGCGACGACTCGACTCTCCTCGTCCTTTGACCACGACTCAGGCATGCAGTAAGGTGATTCAACGTGCGGCCTTGCGCGGTGACACTGGAGGCCTGCACATCTTGCGGATTGGTAGTTTCGGTCCGCACGCGGAGTTTTTTTTTGAAGACGAGTAATGAGAACAGATAAATAGTAGACGGAGTCCCGCAGTTGAACCGGTGAGTCTGAGGACTTGGTCGACATGGGTATCCGTGTGAAGGAGTGGACTCGTGATGAGTTGCTGTGATTCCGCTGCTTCAAATTCCCACGGCCGCTCTCCTCTTGTCCAAGGGCTCTTCGGTACGCTGAATATCGTCCTTTCTGGCCTCAAGACCAGTGGGCGCAGAAGCAAACATCGTTTACAGTCATATGTCGGATCACACCAGAAGCTTTACAAATGGAAATGGAAACTGAAACCGAAAAAAGAGGTCGCGCCCGGAATCGAACCGGGGTTGCCAGAATCTGCTTGTTGCCGAGTCGCTATCAACGCCACCAGGCGCGATCGATCCCTGCCTCAATGACGTCACGCGACTGAGAGTTCTTGTCTCTTTTCCTCGCGCCGCCATGTCCTCGCCTGAATTCCACCTTCCAACCTTTCTTCTGAGTGCTGCCAGAATTCCTGTGGTCGCAGTCGGCTCCCTCTCGGTTTAGGCCTTCTTAGCGGCTATCCTACAGCCAAAGTAGTGCGAAGTGGCTGGTACAAGGTTTGTACAGGATCCATGAACATGAATCTGACAACAACTGAACTTGGGATCCGACTAGAGTTTACGCACACCTCCCGGTTGTCCCCCGCGCCAAGTTTTTCCTGTCGTCTCGATTCTATACATCAGTCAGCATGAGCCTGAGTTCGCACATTTTTTGTAGAATGACCCGGCAACGCTTGATGTCGGTGGGGTCGAGGGGTCGTTCTCTGGAAAGACGTGTCTTCATGCTGAAGCTAAACGCCCCGTGATCCTCCAAAAAACTCTTCCGTACCATATCTAATAATGTGGTCGGACGTCGATTAAATACACACATTATGCAGTATCTAGTGCCTTCAAAGCCACATTGGCGGATTCAGTCGCCATGCCTCCAATCAAGTCTTTTAAGGGGCCACGATCGCTTCCCGGTGACGACGATCGGCTAGTCGCGAGATGATCACGGTCCACGACCGTGACTTCCACAATTTTGAACAATTCAGCTTCCAACTTCGCCAAGATACGTTCAGGGAGCCCATGCGGCGCTACCCAAGGGTGATAGTGGTTGTGTCGGCCGGGTAGCTCGACGGTGATTCCCTCCGAGACGAGAGCATCTCCCAACATTTGGCAGAGGGGGCAGCACTTTTCGGCCACTCCAATGGGAACTGTGTTGGTTGGACGCTAGATCAGAGGTGAGACTTGGATGCCACGGGTAAGAACCCAAATACGTGCTGTCACCAACGGCTTCATCGGGCTTATGTCTCGCAACCAGGGATGCCATGAGGCCCGCTTCGCAATGACAGACTCCAGCTCGAGCGGTTTGGTCCTTCGCGCGGAAGCTCTGAACGATCGGCTCAATAGTTGCATCCTTCGTCCCATGTACACCGCCCACCCCAGTACTCGAGCAATTGTTTCGGAACGACTGCGTTGATGGGCCGTCTCGGAAGGTCGATGACGGACAAAAGTAGGGGAATTGGGGTTCGAGAGAACGGTTGCTGCAGGAGATGGATTGGACCAGTGGTCCATGCACATACTGCATCAACTGCTCGATGGGAAAAGGACGCACTCGCTATCCACCGTGGAGGCCAAGGGTCCGGTCTAGATAAAGTACAAATAAATGGAAATTAACGGAGGTACATCGTGTTTGATAATAAAGCTTACCAGCAGTGAGCATCGCTTCCTCTTCGTTTTCCCCTTCTTCTGTCGGGGTAACTACTGACATCGAGTTTAGCTCACAGAATTTATTTAGGCGGTCACCTTTACCTTTCCGCGCTTTCTTAAGGTGCACACTGAGACTTGGAATTGCCCAAAACGTGGTCGGCATGGAATTCAACATCTGGTGTATGGGATGGGAGAAGCCAGCAAATGTTGCTGCACTATCTTGAGAAAGTTCTTCCAGACTGCAAGCAAGCAGTTCCTTGAGAAGCATTAGCAGAGCTTTCCACCACCGACCGGTAACGTTTCCATTAAAATCAAATTCGTTGTTTTGAGAGGGAACTCAGCTCGTAGAAGTACCTGCTGAGCCAGTTGATCCTGAATTATTATTTTTGTCGATGGAAGATTCATCTCTGAAAGGGCTGGGGTCCATGCCAGCGACTCAAGAGGATAAAGTTCAAGGACCGCCCTTGCTCGGTGTTGAATTTTGTCCCAGCATGCAGCCACAAAGAAGAGGACCACGTCTGTCGTCACGCTCACGGGATCATTAACGCGTAAAGTATAGACGGCGGCGGCACGCAGGATGGTGAGACTCGCTTCCACGAAGTCATGAAAGGGGGTGACTGCTATTTCCTCCAGGGTAAGATTCGTGACAGTAGTGATCGTTTTTCTGTAGGATATTGAGATATTGCGGCCCGACAATCCAGTACGCACAAGATCGCGTCGGTCTCGAGTTCATTGAACGACGGAATTTCCAGCGTCCGTAAGGTCCCATTGTCGTCTTTCGGCGCCGAGTTCCGCGTTAGAATGAGGTCATCTCTCGGTCGCGTCGTTCCTTTAGCGTCTTTCTTCCCATCCTGGCCGTCTTTTCCGGAAAGGCTAGCTGACGAGGAGGAGGAGGGAGAAACCGTTGGGGACGATGTGCGGCTAGTGGGTGGGCTGCCAGTTCCTTGTTAGCGGCGGGAAGTAATGGAAGCGACCAGGAGGACCTTCCCATGACAGCGACCTTTACACCCTCAGCATCCACGGGCCCTATCGTGACCGCGACGACTCGACTCTCCTCGTCCTTTGAACCACGACTCAGGCATGCAGTAAGGTGTTTCAACGTCCGGCGTTGCGCGGTGCCACTGGCGGCCCGCACATCTTGCGGATTGGTAGTTTCGTCCGCACGCGGAGTTTTTTTTTGAAGACGAGTAATGAGAACAGATAAATAGTAGACGGAGTCCCGTAGATGAACCAGTGAGTCTGAGGACTCAGTGCCCGACATGGGTATCTGTGTGGAGGAGTGGACTCGTGATGAGTTGCTGTAGGTAAGGGGCATATGGCGAAAGAGGTCCGATCGGAACCTCTGTTTTTCGTCCGCATAATGGATCAGATTTTGAGACACGAGAGGGTGTTTTTAGGTGTTTTTGGAGGTGCTTGGCGGAGATGATGGTCCGTTCATGGGATTTTCTTATGTTTTCTCGACCTGGCACCTAAAAAACTTGGCAAATTTAATAAATTTGGGCGAAACCGTCAGCATAGTGGATCGAACATCAGCGCACATTGACCAGTTCCGGAGTCAGCGCTTGTGATGAGACATACTTTTTTGGCTGAGTCCGTTCGCATAAGGATCGGACCTCCTTCGCCATATGCTTAGCTGTTGCTGTCTTGTCCAAGGGCTCTTCGGTGGTTTCTTCATCGGCGCTCAAGTCACGCTGAATATCGTCCTTTCTGGCCTCAAGGCCGGTGGGTGCAGAAGCAAACATCGTTTACAGGTGCGCCACATCCACAGATATCGCAGGGCCGGGTTCATGTGAGATGGACATCCGGTGTTATCTCTCATATGTCGGATCACACCAGAAGCGTTCACAAAATGGAAATGGAAACTGAAACTGAAAAAAAGTTTTCAAAAAGAGGTCGTGCCCGGAATCGAACCGGGGTTGCCAGAATTCACAAATCAGAATCTGGAGTGATAACCGCTACACTACACAACCATTGTTACGGTTTCATCTCCGCCTATACCAAATACCCTCTAGAATCTCAGTCGGGAAACAGACAAAGTATTACTGACAAAACCGGATGTTTCGGGTACGCGGGCCACGCGGTACGAAGCGCGGTTGGTTCGGGGATGAAATTTCACTGAACTGCCGGTCCGGCGTTCGATTTTGCTATGGGGCAGATGTTTTCGGGGCAATCTTTTTTATTTTCTGGAGGGATAGGCCTGAGAACGCCAATGGCATAGAATACCATTCAGTACTAAGGAGCCCAAATGAATATATTCTTCATTACTATGAATTGTACAAATATTCTAGCACTAGGGTCTAACTAGGGGAAACAGAAAAAGAAAACAGGATCGACGCAACCAACAACTTAATGAGGTCGTTTCGGCGGCGGTCGCGCATAGATGATCCTCGAGCTGCACAGGCGCACTACGCGGGCGTGAGGCTTCCTCAACGCGGCCAGTGCAGGTGAGCACTCTTGAAAGGTTGTGCTTGCAAGAGTGCAACTTTGGGCATGGGTGAGCCAATAAAGAGGAAGAGGAACAAGGAAAGACACGGGGGAGGAGCACAGGTTCCAGCGTCCGTCTCGCTCACCGAGGCCGCCGATGTAGATGAGGAGGAGGAAGCAACCAAAGGGAGGCGCAGACTCAGTGTACGAACCCGAAGCAAGGACGGGTTGCATCCATCCAATGCGACAATGACACTGGCGCATTGCTCACTAATTTTTGTGGCCCTGTCAGGTACGGCGGGTGGTGCGCGGACACGGTGGGGATTGGCGCCGACCCAATCTACGCGGGGTCATGGAATGACAGGATGTAAAGTGGCTTACCGCATGTTATGTTGAATGCAGTTCTATTCGAAGGTGTTGCGCCCGCTTAAATTGACACGTCAGAAACACGGCTATAGACCAAATACAGAGCCACTTACCGGACGATGATGATTTCATCATGGAAAGGTTCAGGACTGCCCTGGTAGTGGGTTCAGTGTGGCAAACTGAACGCCGCGAACTCGAAGTTATATAAAGCTGAGTTGAGTTGACCGGTCTCGTTCAGTCCCATGGGCGAGATTCCATGTAGAATAAGCCAGAAGAAATATACTAATAATGTCCTGAGGATGGCCGTGGCGTCGTTGGCGCGCTCAGCGCTGCTGTGGAAGTGGAGAAGATGAAAACAAGCTGTCACGGTCACAATGCTCGGATCAACAGGACTCGCGCGCACGGAGCATGTAGTATGTTGTCGCCAACTCAGTTACCCAACCCGCAAAGGTGTTTTGTGTACATGTCGGTTGGCCACTTATCACTGTTACTCTTCACGCCCTTCTTTTTTTTACAGCGCTGTGGCTGCTGCGAACATGCCAGGACCGGTCGGCCACACTGTTTGCTCTCGCTCCGCTCTCGTCTTATCTCTGGGGAGTACCTGTGTCCCAATCCGAACTGCTTGTTCTTTGTCCTTCTTTGGCTGCTGCCGGTCCTCTGTTTCCGCTGACAAAAGCAACCCACCGCATTCTCTCTCCTCCGCACCTACTCTAGCCGGTTTACGAGAACAGCTTATTGACACTCGTATTCCCTCCTGGTTCTTCTTCAGCACCTTCACCACCACAAATCAAGTCCTCCTGCGTGACATGTTGCGCCACTCCCGCAGTGCGTACATGTCTGTTGGCCAGGAGGTTGGCGGGCGGAACAACGAAAGCGCGGAGACAGGTGGGGGGAGTCATGGGAGAAAAAAGGGCGCATTGTACTCGCCCGCCTCAGTACATATACCCTCACTTCTGCACCAGAGCAGCCCCATCTTCTCCGCGAGTGCACGCTGGTTGATGCGACGTTGTATGACATCTGCGTGTTTTTTCGATAAAGAACAAAACACGACACCCTTACGCGAATGGATGCGGAGAATACACAAACGCGCCTCGGTGCCTGGAGGCGGGAACTCAATCTTCCGGTCTATCCGTCCTGGTCGTAACAACGCCGAGTCAAGAATGTCTGCTTCGTTCTCTGTGAGTGCCGCAACAAATACAACAAGTTGGAGTGGCACCCACCGATTTGATTTGTCGCCATAATAACCTTGATATTCTTCGACGGCTCGAACCCATCGAGCTGGTTCAGCAGCTCCAACATCGTACGCTGCACCTTGCTGTCTCCGCCACATCTCCCACTCTCCCCCACGAGCTCCCAATCGAGTCGATCTCGTCCATGAAAATAATACTCGGCGTGTGCTCGCACACCATCCTGTCCCCTTGCCAATATACTTCTGCACCAGCTCGCTCCCACTCACGCGACTGAACTTGCAGTCCGTGTGTTGCGACCTCCAAGACAACTCGGCCAATACTTTGAAGAGTTTCTTGCTACACGGGGCCGTCATGTGCCACAGAAGTTGGCTGGTTTATCTTACTCCACTTGATTCAAAAGAATTTCTCTTCGCAGGTAACACAGAAAGTTGTATCCAACAACCGGGGTATTATCCTCGGGCCATGCCCACGGCACGACCTCAGGCTGAAACAGGTCCCAATTGCTTTAACTGTACGTCCCTCGTGGCAGTTACCTATTCCTGCTTCAAATTTCGTCAGAGCAATCAAGAATCGATCGGAGACTTGACTTGAATACTGTGAAATACTACGCATGAGTACATCTGCACCTGTGCCCGACTGGGCCACGTCCATCGCTCGTGAATGACTAATCACCATTCCGCGGGGGGGAAGTTGAGGCTTCGCCTTGGATAATTAATTTATAAATTTACGCATTGGTTGTATCTACTTGAAATACTTACTCTAGGAAAGGTGTATCAATAATACTTCCTGCTTGGTTCAAAGTACACATTTATCTGCCAGGTAGTAGCATAAATTTATCATACTCTCGACTGATGCTGCTTGGTGTGAAGGCCAGCTACGATATATCGATATCATCTAGAAGTACTCGGAGGTAAGCTATGTTGAACTGAATCTAATTCCTATTCCTTAGCGCATATTTATTTCCGATGCAACAAAATAAGCATTCAATCACAAATTCAGTTTGGAGTAATTCTATGAATCTCCTGGCCCCCATGGATCATAGAGTGGCTTCTAGACATACTTGAACTCATAACAGTTACAGGTGACCAGTTGTAATCTCAACTGGAATACTCAGCTGGAGCCCAGCCGCTTTCCACGTGGAACCAGGAATCGTTGCAGGTGGCTCTTGGCATGCAACACTCCCAGCCTGAGATATGAAATCAACATACGGGCACTTTGGCGGTGTAGGCAAATATCGAGATACCGGCAGTTTTGAAGGCTCTTTTAAACAAGTTGAGAATGAAACCCCTCAATCTATTTTAACCAGCCCAATATCACCTGCCGCCTCGCAGCCTGGGATTAAATGTTTTCGGAGTGGTGTTTGGTCTTGTTGATATGTCAGGTGATCACAGTCTCTCTTCGTCTCCTCTTTGGTGTTGGTCAAGTGTTGGTCTCACTAGCGTCTCACTGTGCACATTTTCGGTGGCTGGCCCCAAAATCAATAACCAACCTCCAATGACACGTTCTACCGCCCATTTGACGGACTGAAGACAGGATACGTCACAGTGCTTTTCGCGGTTTCTATCATATCATACGCCCGCGGCCCAATGTCGCCCTCGAATGCCGCAAAGTGGTCTTCAATTTGTGTGGGTGGTTCACGCCACCCATCAGGACTCTTTACCGCTGTGAATTTGACTCGCACCAGGGACTCCAGCGTCCTGTCCCGTTTCCAGCCCCGAGAAATTTTTACTCTGGGTTGCGACGCCGTATACTATTGATATGTGTCGTCTCTACACTCGTGCATCTTCCAACCTCCCTCCTTCCGCTTCCTCATCCCATGTCGGCCAATGTTTCTCACCCCGCTTTCTCGCTGTTTACTGACCTTTTCTTCCAACTTTGCAGATCTGCACCAAAGCTGGTGCTGGACTGGATCCACGGGAGAGCGAGCCGATGTGCGTGGCTCTTCCCTTATCTTTTTTCTCTTCTTCGTCTACGTTTGCGTGGCGTTGCTGACAGAGCCGAACACCCTCGCCTCTTCTTATGCGGCTTTTATTGCACGTTGCATCAGGGCCGTTAAGTCTCTGTGCACGCAACACGGTTCTTTCGCGCATACTCCCCGTCCCTTCCTTCCTTAGTCTCCCCATGTTTTATTGCAGGTTGGTGTGGAGACCTCGCGGCAACTGATGTTTACTCATTCCTCTGACACAGTACGCTCTATGGGCGGCGTGATCACGAAGCGTGGCCCTGAGGAATGTCGCATCCTCATTTCAGTGAATGACTTCCAACCCTCCACATTGCGGCGTCCCGGATGTCTCGACGAGCTCATATCCGTGATGAATAATACAAACACCCTAATGTTACAATTTTGTACAATATATAGTCAGAATGCATTTTTTTTCACTTCTCCCATGATATCTCCTGAATGCTCTCTCTGTCTGCATAACCTATCGGCAAATGGCAAGTAACTACATATTCAGAAACATATGTCGCCTGACGGAATCGAACGTGTGACCTCGCACTTTCCTCAAAATTCATCCCCGAACCAACCGCGCTTCGTACACGCGGTGCAAAGGGCGGGAGGCCGTGCCAAGTTTGAGTAGCACGAAAGTACTGCAGGGAGACTGATCCTTTTCAGACAGCCTCCCTCAAAACCACCATGTCTCCAAATTAAAGGTCAGATTTGATTCAAGCCGAGGAGGACCGCGAGAGTCCACGGCGACACTAAGTCTGCAGAGGTCGAAGCCGGCGAGTTTATGAACATATAGAGGGCTAACATGGTGTAACAGCTGACGCTGACTGTTGGTCTCTCCCATCCCACCATTTTCGCCCATCCATCGCTGACGCCCATTGCGAGCTGGTCGAGGCGTCTGCGAGGTTTGTCAATTTGCTCTGTACTGGTACCACGTATCCACTTGAAAACAAAAACAAGTCGCGGGTCGTCTCGTGTGTCGGCCGCCGCTTTATCCGTAATAAGAACTTGTTCGTAGCTCGATTTAGTACACCATTTAGAC